GGAATTACATAACGGCCAGATAAAGAGCTCCACAAATTTATTACACGTTCTCCCTATTGTTTTTCTGATTGTTCTCCGGATGCATCCAGTTATTACGTACAAGATACAATAAAATTTTAATCAATTTTAGTTAAAATCTTAGATTATACATTGTTATACATTTTCTTTGTTGTTCTGGGTTGTTCTAGTTGTTCTAGTTATTATTCTAGAAAATCAAAACTATGGGATACAGCATTACGAAGTTATAACTAAAAATAGGTTTGGCTGCCAAAATGTCTAGTTCATTGATTTCAATTCCATATTACAAATATATACTTATTATACCTAAAGCAATCTGGAACAGCTACTATTTTCATTAGAACAACTCTATAAAGGACACTCTTATTACTTATTAATACACTCTATTACCCTTATTAATACACTCTATTACTCTTTGAAAATTAAAGTTTTTGGAAGTTTCAGTCAGTAATTCTTGCGTCAGTGGTTTTAAATTACACAATAAGAAAATAAATTCGAAAATTGTGTTACAACTGGTTTATTTTAAGTTTAAGTTCAACCTGACATGTTTCGGTCTTTTAAATGACCATCATCGGAGGTCTACAAGTAATAACATGTATTAGAAGAGTATACAGATAACAAAATATATAAATTGAGGTTATGTTGTTAAGAACATTGAAATAAATCCAGTAAATCATCAAAAATATTATAAAACATACTCACATCGTAAAAAGGATATATGAGGAATAACATACAATAAAGTAGAATAACTGCTAGCAGATGTGTGTGGAAGATGTCTTTGAAACAAGTTCGAACTTGTTTCTGAAGAGGGTTGCAACATGGCATCCGAAACGTCAAACATTTTTTCAAAAAACACACGGCTTAACCCGAAAGATTCTAGTTCTAGGTCTAGTGTTAGTTCTTGTGATAGTGCTAGTGTTAGTTCTAGTTTTAGTTTAATTAAAAATACACTATTTGTATTATACATTATGTATTAAAAACTAAATATCTCTGTGTCCCACCCACACAGAAATATTCTCGTTGTCCAGTACGTAAGGACGAATTTGAATTTGCCGCCGTTTTGTTCTGTGACGGTTGGCAGCCGTGGGTTTTTCATATTTGTTATCTTATAACCTTCCCATTGTGTCACCAGTGGTGATATTCACAGATTCGTTGAGTGTGATCCGTGCATTGAAGGTGACCATGGGAAGAAAGACGAAGGTACATTATCTGGTGAACAAAGTTAAAGAACTTAGCTGGCAGTGTACTGTAGAAGAACTGAAGATTGAGTTGGCTTGGATTCCTGGCCATGTGGGAATTATTGGGAATGAGAGGGCGGATGCTCTGGCGGCGGGGGAGACTGGTCCATGGTATCAGATACGCAAAGACGTAAGTGACATTGTCTATGAACTGAAGAGGGATGTATTGGATTTATGGCAGCGGGATTGAGATGATAGTAGCAGATTCAAGGGCAGAGCCTTATGGTTGATTAAGAGGGATGTCAGAGAAGGTATAAGCTACTTCAGAGCCTTCAGAATCTAAACACATGATATCTACAATTAATCGCATGAGAGTGGGACATGGCATGTTTCCTGCACATCTGTATAGGATTGGCATGGCGGATTCTCCACATGATTTTGGCATGTGAAACGTATGAGTTGGATAGAAGTAGAATATTTGTTAAGTTGAGAAGGGAGGGTATTTTTCCTCCATATAATGTTAGTTTACTTTTGGCGACCAATAACGCTAGTGTTTTGAGAATGCTTTTTTATTTTTTGTGTGTTGACTGCGGAAAATGAGATGCATCCACAACGCACGACTGTGTGGTGTGGGTTCTGGGCAGGAGGAGTGATCGGCCCATACTTTTTTGAAAATCGTGAAGGAGCTGCCGTCACTGTAACCGGCGACCGTTACAGAAACATGCTTTCTGATTGGTTTTTCCCAGTTGTGGATGAAAATGATGACTTTTGGTTACAACAAGATGGTGCGACATGACACACACCGTGAAACGATTGCTCTGCTGAATGATAAGTTTCCTCAAAGAATTATCTGTAGGCGTGGCAACCAGGAATGGCCTGCCAAATCATGCGATCTTACACCTTGTGACTTTTTTTTGTGGGGATTTGTGAAATCAAAAGTGTACGTGAACAAACCACAAACAATACACGAATTGAAGGGATTATTAGCAGCATCCCACCAGATGTTTATGAACACGTCATCGAAAACTTCAATGAACGCATTGGTCATTGGGTGGTCATATGGACTTAATATGTTTACAAAAATTTTACATTTTCAATAAACTTTGTAAGATCTATAGCACTTTAATATTCGTCCCAACTTCCTGAACACCCTTTATTTATATAGGTACTACATGTACTATACATATATTTATATACCCTGCTCAAAAAAATTAGGGAACACTTTTCGAAATCTGTAACTTTTTAAATAATAGTTCTAGACAAATCAAATCTGGTTTACTTCAACGGCATATATTTAATTAAAAAAAATTCAAAAACAATGTTACAATTCTTAGTTACTTCTAAGTTACACTTAAAAATGTAAATTAATAACGCAAAACAAAGTGGAAAAAATGTCAAGTATGCTTTGAATTCAAATGAAAGTTAATTTTCGTTGATGAGGCATCTTAGTGAGGTGTAAGTTGCTCTTATTGAGCATGGCCACTATTCGACATATTAGCAGGGATCTTCGAGTTTCCCCGTCAGTTATTCAGCGTTATGGAATCGGTTTCGGGAGGATGGCCAACATGTTAAAAAAGCTGGACAAGGTCAAAATCGAAAAACTACTCAAAATCAAGACAGATTTCTTGTCCTTTCATGTCTATGTACGCGTACCTCCACAGCACGAGACCTCCTAAACGACCTAAGACGAGCACATGGAATAGAAATTTTCTGATCAAACTGTTAGAAACAGATTAAAAGAAGCGAATCTGAAACCTAAAAGACCTGTCCGCGAACCACGCCATACCCAGCATCATAAAGCAGCGCGAATGAGGTTTGCTCTGGATCACAGAGATTGGCAACTTTGTCACTGGATATCTGTACTGTTTACAGACGAATCCAGATTTCGTTTAACTCGTTGCGACGTGTATATAGACATCCTGGTGAACGTGACGCAGCCGCTACTATATAGGAAGTGGATCTGTTATTGTTTGGGCTGGAATCAATATAGATAACAGAACTGATTTTGTTGTTGTTCCTGGTAGACTAAATGCCATGAATTACATCGAAAACATCTTGGAGGACCATGTGCCTGCTTCATATGAGGTCGGTCAAAATTTCATCCTAATGCAGGACAATGCAAATCCACATACCGCCGGCATCACCAGAAACGTTTTGCAAGAACGTAGAATTCAGGTCATGGAATGGCCAGCGTTAAGTCCTGACTTGAATCTTATTGAACACGTGTGGGATCAGCTTGACCACTAACCATACAGGAACTGATACAAGCCCTGAGGAATGGTGAAGCATACCTCAAAAATCTCTTCGCAGACTAGTGCGAAGCATGCCACACAGGTGTGAGGAAGTGATTCGTGCTGGTGACTGTCATCGATACTATGAGAGTCGTTTCCACTTTGTTTTGCGTTATTAATTTACATTTTTAAGTGTAACTTAGAAGTAACATTGTTTTAGTAATTTTCCTTAGTTAAATATATGCCGTTGAAGTAAACCAAATTTCATTTGCCTAGAACTATTATTTAAAAAGTTACAGATTTCGAAACAAGTGTTCCCCTAATTTTTTTGAGCAGTGTATTTATATGTATTTATATACAGGGTTTCCCAAAAGTAACGGATAAATTCGTTAAAAAAATTAAGAACAGTTTATGGAAAAATCGCTGAGACGAGTCTAAAGATTTAAATTATTCGCAATTGTTTGGTATAGATTTTTAATTTTTGCCGCCATTTTTAAACGAGTAATGACGTCATCGATATTTTTTTCAAATAGCAATTTCTAGCCCCATTTATATTACGGAATATGAAAGAGGACTTTGTTCTGAATCTACTACACTCAATATTAATATTGGTTACATAAGAAAATTTTCGAGAAAAATTATCTTAAAGTTTCATTATTTCCTGTTCAATTGAAATAACAAAATAGCAGTAGCTAATCATGGCAACCAACAGTTTCAGATATCAAAAATTAATCATTGTCTTAATAGAGTATGTCAAACAACTGGTTGCCATGGTTACGAATTGGAATTTTTCCACCTCAAATAAATGGAAAATCATGAAACTTCAAGGCAATATTTCTCGAAAATTTTGTTATGTAGCTAATATTAATTTTGGCAGTACCAAATTCAGAAAAAGTCTTCTATCATATTCCATAATAAAAATGGGGGTCATAACTTGTTTAAAAATGGTGGAAAAATTTTAAAATCTATACCAAAAAATTGCAAAAAATGTAAATCCTTAGACCAGATTTTTCCATAAACTGTTATTAGCTGTTTTAACGAATTTATCCGTTACTTTTGGGAAACCCTGTATATTTCTTCATCCGAATTTTTATATTTTATTTTATTAATATATGGGAAGAAATATAGTATATATAAAAATATATCTCTGTGTGGGTGGGACACAGAGATATTTAGTTTTATACATAATGTATAATACAAATAGTGTATTTTTGTTTGCTGATCGAATAGTTGGATTATTCATTTGTTAATTCGTAATGTAGAACAACTCTAGAACAATCTAGAACAACAATGAAAAATTTAAAAATCAATAAATGGGGGGCTAACTTCTCGGACTCGTTTAGGTCGTATATTAATTGTGAGTAAGAAAAATGGGTGAGGTTATTTCGCAAAAGAAAGAATTCGATGTGGCGACGTTTTCTAAGGTTGACGGGGGTTCGGCCGCAATTCACGGTCCGTCGATTCGATGCTGAGCTTTAAGATCGGTGCCGCGGCCCGTAAACTGAGTCTCGTCGAAAGAAAAACACGTTTAATTGAGAGAAAATAAAGAAGCAGTAAGGCGTTTGTTACTTACGAGATCTCGCCGAATGCCGCAAATGCCTCCCTCAACGTTTGTGTTTCAATCTCCGGGCTCAGATCTCCTACAAAGATGTGATGGTGTTCTGAAAAATAAAAGAAACAATTTTTTTATATAAATGTGTGATGGGTATTCCACGTGACATAAATGTTCCGGTTTAATCCGCACGCGAGATCGATAAACGCAGCGCCATCTGATCGGGGCGACTACCCTCTTCGATGAGAACCACTCAGGGAACTTATGCAGCCGGCCGCAATGCTACAGACTGCTAACTCGACTAATCGTCCCACTTGCCTTTCATACCAACCCGAACAACGAATCTACTATTCCAACGTTTTACATCAATTAAATATTGAATTTTACTTTATAAGAAATAGAAAAAGGAAAGAGAAAATTTTATTTTATGTGCAGTAAATTCGATGAAAATTAGATACGAAGGAGGGTAAGTTTAGGAATAGAGTTTGTTTTCCAAAAATTGACTCGGTCGCCGTAGAGCAGCATTAATATTTGATGGTTAGGTTAGGAAGGTCTTGGCAAAGTCGAAGGGAAGCTGAAGGAAGGGGGAAGTGAAATTCAAACAGAATACTGGATACGGCCGAATATTGTCGGATCGGGATCGGTTAATAATTGAGGAATGCGTATCATATTGTTCGGTTGCGATAACGCGGAACGTACTGGAGCGTCGTTGGGCGTCGTTGGGCATCGTTGGGCGTCTCGACGCCGGAGCCAAGTTTTACGGTGGCTTGAATAGGGTTAAATTGTGTCGGGGGGCAATTCGCATAGAATTCGGCGGGGCGGATTATTTTAAATTCAAAAGTTTAAGCCCAGTTTTAGGTCCTATAAAAATTTCTGCAATAATATGAATTTATAGCATAGTTCCAAAAGTATGAACTCGCATGTACCAATAAAATCCGCGACGCAGAGTTCACTCGCGCCGTTTTACTATGCAAAACTGAAGCAAATCTATGCAAACAATCCGAGGCGAATGTAAATTACGTAACTATTGTACGACGAGGTTGGAGGTGAGGTCAACCTCCGTCAGAGTCTTGGACCAAAGTTTCCGTAATGCTTTCTAAATCATTATTGACTGGAGCGGTTAAAGTCCCTTCCAATTATCTTCCTAGTGGCCACCTGTATCGCAATCACCTGCTCCATCTCAATTTTTCATCTTATAAAATCATTACTCTTCCTTTATCTCACTATTATTCGATTCACACTTTATTATCAACTACATTAAAATCACAAAAACACCACCTATTCCTTATTATTATTTAAGTTGTTTCAATTTGACCCAAATCAACCCCTTCCATGATCTTGATCAAGTGATATTGCAGCCATAAAGTTTTTAGGTTAATATTCACAACTTAAGAACTAAATGAAGTCAAGTAGAACCATTTTTAATAAAACCAATACACCTCCGGATTTTGACTCTTTTTTGAACGATATAAAGGCTCTTTCATTAAGGGCTTCCTATTTTTAAAGTTAAATAAAACAAAGCGTATGAGAGAATCATCGAAATTTTTATTCGTTTGAAAGGCCTATGGATGCCATTATGTGTGGAATAAAACATCCATGACTCTGGCGCATAAATCAGGCTGAATTTGACCGATGACATGGATTATATTGGCTCGGAAAACCGCTGTTGTTTGAGACTTATTCGCATAGATCTGCGACTTAAGAAAACCCCAAAATCGCACAGAATGTCCAATGTGGCATGAACTGTGCTCCGTCCTGTTGAAACCACATGTCATTGATGTCCATATCATCTAATGCAGGCCAAAAGAAGTTCGTAATTATCCCCCTATAGCATTCGCAGTTCACGATGATGGCCTGGCTAACGTTGTTCTGAAAGAAATATGGACGAATGACCCCGTCAGTCCAAAATCCACACCAAACTGATTTTTTCAGGACGCTTTTAGATCTCATGTGAATTGATATATTGTCCCAAATTCATCCAGAAATGCGTCTCATCGCTGAAGATGATTTTTTTATGAAAATTAGGATCAGTTTCCAACACACGTCGTTGTCTATGGTTGTTTACCTTCAACTCCTGGGTCAGTTAAATTTTGTACGGGTGTAGGCCCAAGTCACGACGTAAAATTCGCCAAGTCGTGGTCTGCGAAAGGCGGAGTTGTTGTGAACGACGCGAAATCGACTGCCTTGAATTCTTCTGCACACACTCACGGACAGCAGCGATGTTTTCGGCAGATTTTGCGTTTCTTTGCTGTTGGTTCCTTGTTTACTGAACCAGTAGCCTCAAACTTATTCAGCACACTGTGAATAGGCCGAAATGGGCGAAGCGCGTGAAACGTTGCCCGAACAGAACACCCATTTTGATAAAACAATTTTATCATTTGCACGTGTTGTTGAACGCTATATCCGTCCATGATGATTTGGCAAAACAGACTAAATAAATCACAGCCAATCTGACAGATGTTGCTTCAGTTGGTTGCCACCAACTGTCAAAGCTCAGAAGTTCCTAATGAAAGACCCTTTATAAGATCAACATTGGGTAAGTTATTATGACCATGAAATTTCTAAGTTGATATGAGGCGTTTAGAATTAAAATTAAGTCAAAAGCCTATTGGTTTAATCAAAAATGACACCAATCATTTTTGATTAAAAAAATAGATTTCTCGGAGTTAGAGCATTTTCTGAAAATCATATAAAATTTTGATTAGCCAAATTATTAAGGAGTAAAATCTATCGTCACTTTTAGGTTGCAAAGTGATGTCAAAGATCAACTAGATACCACAGAGCATTATCTCAATAATTTTTGTTATTTCTGGGAAGATGGGGTAATCCCATCCCATCTATAATGGGATCGAAAGTTCGTTACCATCTAGAACAATGTTCCGGCAATGGAATAAACTAATTATGATTATTTATATATAGTGTAGTATATACATACAGGCTGTCCCGAACATCATATCTTTAGGTACTACGTTCAAAAATGTTCGCAATTTAATAGTGATTTTTTTAATGATGTATGAAAGAATGTATGTGTATTAAGTTTGACAACTTTGTTAGAAGATGTGCCACTCAATATCTACAGAGAAATGTGGTTGCAACAAGATGGTTGCCCAGCTCATTATGCTTGTCTTGTACGGGATTGCATACAGAATAGCCAGAAAGATGGATTGAGCCTCCTCACTCTCTGGACCTAAATCCCCTTGATTTTATTATTAGGATTGCATAAAAGAAACAGTGTATTAAAAACCGATTGAAAATCTCGCCGAACTGCGCCACAATATTTATAAAGCAGCAGAAGAAACAAATGCAAGGAGATTTGCGCAACTAGTAAAAAGATCTTGTCTGCGACGATGCAGAACTTGTATTAGTGCCGACGGCAAACAATTTGAGCATTTGCTTTAGTTTTAAGAAAATAATGCTATAAAATTAATAATAAATAAATTAATAATTCCTTTTGTTTGTTTAATTTCGTCTTTAGGTTAACCTTATTTGAAACAGTCCTTTTGCAAGGCATAGAGGGAACCATTTTGTTGAAACCACATTTTGTAGTTCGTAGATATTGACTCTTGTAATAAAGTTAAGACTAAATAAAGAGTAAATACAAAAAAGTATAAATTTTTCAAATAACGTGTTTCTTGCAGAAAGACAGGCAATAATATTTTTTATGAAAAGAAAAATAGCAAGTGTTATACCATTTTGGAATCTTGACTAAACAGGGAATCTTTTAAAATAACTTGCACGGGTGTTGCACTACTCCTCTTTTTAGAACTCGTGTATCAAACTTAATAGACATAAATTCTTTCAACCTTAATTCAATCAAATTAATATTTTTTTTGCAAAACCAACGACTTTTGTTGTTTGATGGTGCCCGCTTGACATTGAGTTTCGGGACATTCTGTATATATAAAGGAAGATTTAAAAAGGAACATTTTATTTTGTTTTATGTATAAAATTGAAAAGATTTTTGAAATGTTAAGAATTGCAGTTACCCTATTGCCGTAATAATAGACGATAAACATTTCTCATCTTGCTGGGGTTGCGTGCTTAATACATATACACGGTTTTATTCCTTAACGTGGCAGACCGTATAATAATAAAGCCAAGCATTCATTTTTATTTATTCGGTTGTTATACGGATTATTTGATTAAAAATATGGTCTCAACAAAATTCTGCCCGTTCCCCTCGATCCGTTTCGCTGTCGGCGAAATTGAATGGTTCCAAAGATCGTATGCAGCCGTTCATTCGGTTGGTTCCATTTAGTATAGGGATGGGGTTTTCATAGTATTACGGTGAAGTTTATCAACCAAAGTAATATATTATTTTTTATCGATAAATTTATAAAAGAAATTGTAATTGGAATGATTCTATACGTTTTTACTTTTTTTTATTATACGAGGTATATAAAGTAAACAAAGCGTGGACAGGGAAAGGGGTGAGAGTTTCGCCAGAGACTTTGAAATGCAAAACGTTAGGGTGGTGTTCTAAAAAAAGCTAGTAGCCTCGGGGTCTTAACCCTTTACCGTCTCTCATTGCGCCCCTTGTCATATAAACGCATAAATTAAAAGCGGATCGACCGAGTTGGTGGTGAGTTTTTTTTTAATCAATACGTGGTCTAATTTGCTGTTTTGATAAAATAAGAGCAAAATCCAAAGGCGTAGGCTGATTCTTAGCCCGGATAAAGATATATCCGCGATTGGAGCTGGAGTTATGGGACCGCGTGGCCTTTGGCGCGTTGCCCATTTTTTGACCGCCCCAAAGAACCGAGACGCCACCGCTGTTAGTCTCAGCGCAAATAAACTCAACTAATACACAGAGTGTTCCATAAATATTTTATTATACGAACAATTTCCAAATAGTACGTTATCTGCGATCGCAATTTACCCCCTTTTTGGCGGACATACCGCGACCGTCTTCCAAAAACCACGGAGCAAAAAGTACTGTAGCAATTTATGATTTAAGATGTGATTTAAAATGATAATCGTCTCCTTTATAAAGAAACGGATGATGACGCCTCGATTCAATTAGATAATATTGCTTTGCATCTGAAGGGATAAATTGAACGATCCCGCATAATGGTCAGCTCCAGGATCGCCTCCAATGTGGAAAAGTGG